GATATTTCCTGGGTGCTACCAACTGCTTGGTGGTAGTAGGAGCTATGCCTGATTTCTTGTTCTCCGCTATGCAGTACAGTCGTCCCTGCTCCCAAAGGTACTGCTCCTCCTCCTTCCCTAACCGACCCGTGTCTGCTGGTCTTTACATGCCTGGAGGGTCGGGTCACATGCTACCTCTCTTTCACACTCAGCCGGGGTATCCCAGAAAAGGGGTGCTGGGGTGTTCAGGGCAATATTGGGGACTGGGGTACAGGGGTTAGCCCTGGTGGTCTGCTTACAGGGAGATTGAAAGGGCACTGGTTTGGGGGGACTGGCCCAGGTGGCTGGCTTACTAAGGGGGGCTTACAAGAGGCCGGGGTAAAGGGACAGGGTTGGATGCCTACCTGAGCCACAGTGTGTGAGCCGTGCTGGGGGTTGCGGGCCTGCTGCCGGGGTGTCACAGGGTAAGCTTCTTCGAGGGTATGAACAGAGACATAGGTGGAGGTGCGGTGGCCCAGGTCATTGCTATGTGGCTGGGACATGGGATCTTATCGCTTGCCACCAGTTGTAGTGGGCCTGCTGACAACTTGTCCAGTTGTCCTAGTTCAGCCAAGTCTTTTCCCTGGAAGGGAATCGGTTATAGTACAGAGAGACCCATTTCCCACCCAGTAATCTGGGGTACAACAACAACTTTATTGGCCACACTCGGCTTTATACTTTCCCCATGCAAGGGGTGGATCACATGCAACAACGTCACCATCCAGGGTCCTCCACCTCCCGGGGGTCGCATTACGCAACCGGAACCCCAATCCGTTTGTCCACTGTTCCCGCCACTCAGTGCTCCCTCCCATGGTCCTCTCGCTCCCAGGGGCCTGTGCGTGTGACAGGAACTCCAGTCCCTTTGTCCCCAGTTCTCGCCACCTATCCTCAGGATTTACCACCTCCGGTAACCAGGGGATCTTTATCCCAAGAGCTTCTGTACATGGGAGTCCAAACGCGGGAAAGTTTCTCACCTCTGTGACTCCCCAAGAGAGTGTCCACACCAATCTCAGAGACCCCAGAACGGTAACCGCCTCTGCTCGTGGGGTTTTTTGGGGCGAAGCCAGGCAAGGGAAGTTTCTCCGGGACATAAATGCTCCCCCTGACCGCCGTTCGTCTATACAAACAGCGGACGCCCAGGGAAGCACTCATTAAATACTTCCCTTGCGTTTTCACACTTATGTTGCAAGTTGCCAACATTCTACTTGATTGGTGTGAACACTCCAAGGGGCACTGGGGAGGTCCTCGTTTGGGAATCGAACAAGGTGGGCAGCAATCCACGAATGCTCCCCCTAGATGGCGTTCGTCTAACGAACGGGCCGCCACCCAGGTCCGGCATGCGCCGAGGCTTTCCTTACGGATTGCGGTTTTGACACCTCGTTACGAGGTGTGAACGTTCTAAGACAACATTCTAAATGAGGTTTTGTGGTGGTCCCCGTTCGGAAGGTGAATGGAACTCATCCGAATATAACACAATACAGGGGAAAACACTGGGAATAACACATAGCAATTCACGAACAGGCAGCGGTCCCGCCACATCCTTCACTAAAACAGTGGTAACATTTTTGAAGTTATATTTAACCACTAATCTAAAAACTAGATAAAAACCTCTTGCTGTTATCTTGAATACAACTAGTTCAAGAGAATAATTGGGAAATATAAACCTATTACAATTTACATAAAAAATGTATTTTTGGGCAAAGGCGGATGGCGGATGCCAGAGTCCTAAAGGCACAAGGCCTCGCAACCAGGGCTCGAGTCCTGCAGGAACGCATGGGAACGGCGTTCCCGCACTTTTTCCACAGCAGGAACGCCGTTCCCATTACCTGTCCTGCAGGACTGGCCCTGCTACCTGCACAGATGGGCCATCACACGGTGTGTTCCCTCTCCAGCTATAACTCTCGCGAGACCCGCGGCTGTTACCATGGCAACGCTCCGCACAGGCGAGTCTCGCGAGAGTTAGAGCTGGAGAGGGAGCACAGCGTGTGATGGCCCCTCTGTGCAGCGGCTGGCTCCCTCCACCGGACCACCAGGCGATCTCCCCCCTCCCTGACAAGGTAAGAAGCAGGGA